TTTTCTTAATGATACTAATACGAGCAATTAATGAGTTAATTTTCAGAAGTGCACATACATAAGGCAGATAGTTCAGCAAATAAGCATACTTAAAGATACTCAATGCAAGGATTTTCCTCTTTCTTCTTTTATCCAAGCAATTGACTAACTGGCATGATTTTTGGAAGGATTTTTTATTGTTCTTATTAGTTAACGTCGCACTGGAGCTACACAATGGGCTATTAGCAATGGTCTAGAAAACATCTTTGATGATGATCCGAAGATACGCCATCATAATTTTGATCCTCTACAGAAGGGGTGGCTCCCCTGATTTGATAGCCAGACGACGTGAAGTCCTTCAGAACAATTTAACGAGGACCCGTACTGCTCACGTTCTGTCACTTTCCAGAATCATAAGAAAGGTCACCCACACGCACACTGACCGCTGCCAGTTGTGTTTTATTTCAGTGTCCTACTGGTAACCGTATCTTAACGAACTGTGGCACTATGGAAAAATTTAGCAGCTTCATTCAGTTACTTTCAATTGCCTTATTATGTGAAACTTAAAGAAAATATAACGAGAGACATTGTTTTTGAGTTAGTATTATGAGTTAGTAATTAGTCCCTGTAAGTAATCTCTAGGAAGCTGAAATTAATTAATTGTAAAAATCTTTTATTTTTGCACGAAAACAATACAATTAACAACTTCTATTAATTAAAAATTTGAGAACAGAATTAGTTTGTTCATTTAGGAAAATCAGGAGTGCTGTTCACTTTATTTTTATTTCAGAGATACAAATTTACATTTGATTTAACGGAACATGTAACCCACGAGGCATTCACATTTTCCATACCAAAGAATCTTGTCTCCCAAACAGCCTTAATTGGCTCTTGTCTCGTCTAATTAATTGTGACAAAATTTATCCTACTGTAATGAATTATGCAATGTTTTTTATTCTTTAAATATTGTTGTAATTATTAAGTGCAAGTACTGTCGATATTTTGACATGCATATTGATTAAGCTGAAACTCGAAGCCATGGGCCATATTAATTGAAAGAACGAAAGAATTAATTAAAGTTCTAATATTTATCTTTTTTTTTATTCTTCTCCGTTAATAAAAGTAGTAGTTGAAGCACCTTACCAGATTTTACGAACGACATATAAGAGAGATAATTAATTCCTTAAAAGGTTCGTTTCGTAAATTTTTGATGAATTAAATCAATTAAGCCAGATGTTCTTCTGCAGTGTAGTGATAAGATAGATAAAAATTCCTTTTCGCTAGGAATATAAAAAAATTAGCGAGTATATGCCCTTTTTTTTATTTGCTTGCAATCTTTTTTAAGAACATTTTTTGGAGTTATATCAAATGCATAATGGCTATGAAAACAAAATTAATTAAAACAATTCTTGCTGAGTCTAGGAAAAAAATAGACTTAAAGACGTGGCATTCATTTTTAATTTCGGAGTCTCTTTAAAAGAATTTAATCTAATTCTTTCTCAACTTTTGACCAAGATTATTTTTAACTTGAGACTGAGAATGGTGTAAATATCTTAATTAAGAGCAAGACGTTGGTTGAGATTAAATTCATTGCTTCTAAAAACATGAAGCGTTTGTGTGTCCGTGAATTATTATTTCTGTATTTTTCTTTCGTTTTATTATGATAAATTTATGTTTTATTTTAAAAATTTAACATTAAAATTTTAAATGACCAGTTAAAATTTTAAAATTGTAACTATAGTAAAATGCCTAACCATGCAAGCTTGACATGAATAGATTGATTGATATAAATAAACATATTGCATCTACTCAACATATAGAAAAAACATAAATTTTTTCTTTTCCCTTAACTATATCAAATAATCTGAACTATATCATATTATAATACGCAAACAAATACATGTAATAATCTCATTACGTTGCAAGCTTTCGACGTCTCTGTTTCTTTAACGGTAAGTATCCATTTACAATAAAGTGATTGCATATAATTAAATAAATATGGAATATCAGTACTGAGGTCAGATAATTGGGCTTAATTACTTGCTAAAATTGTCATAAACTACTGAATTTGAGAAATTTCAAATTAATAAGACATGTTAGAAGATGTAGTTACTTAATTATCTAGAATCAAAGTAGTTTTTCTAGGCTTACATTAAAAAGCGTATCGCAGAAAATCTTTTTGTATGAAATTCAAATTAAGTCGATAAAAAAGTTATTCCTGTGATCATCTATTTACAAAATGATTGACTTTTTTGGAGAATTCGTTTAAATTAAAAACTTAAAAGTTTCAAGTTCAAAATCGAATTCGATATATATATATATATATATATATATAAAGCNGTCATATATTATAAAATATAGTCTCATATTTTATTATATTGTTAATAATGAGATCGATAAAAGCTTTATTACCTTACTATAGTTTTTTTAAAGTACGCGGCTTCTCAATTTCCACATCAATTTTTACTTTAAATACGAGTACTTTGTATATTTTTGAAAAACATTACCGTTTTCAAAAAGGCTTCTAGGGGACTAATAGTTACGTTTCATACTTAATTTTTTTCTTACAAGCTTTATATTCTTGAGCTTGAACACTAAAATTTGTCTTATATGAGGGTTTTTGAAACACATTGAATTTTATGATTTTGACAAAGAAGCATTAAATTTTAGGCCGATTTCGAGCAACTTAAATAGATTTTAATTTAGCTAAAAACTATTTTGCTAGATAAGTGACAGCAGAGAACATTTTTCAATAACTTATAATTTTAAATCTAGGGAGAATATCCATAATATGTCATGAGGCTACGTCATATATTATAAAATATAGTCTCATATTTTATTATATTGTTAATAATGAGATCGATAAAAGCTTTATTACCTTACTATAGTTTTTTTAAAGTACGCGGCTTCTCAATTTCCACATCAATTTTTACTTTAAATACGAGTACTTTGTATATTTTTGAAAAACATTACCGTTTTCAAAAAGGCTTCTAGGGGACTAATAGTTACGTTTCATACTTAATTTTTTTCTTACAAGCTTTATATTCTTGAGCTTGAACACTAAAATTTGTCTTATATGAGGGTTTTTGAAACACATTGAATTTTATGATTTTGACAAAGAAGCATTAAATTTTAGGCCGATTTCGAGCAACTTAAATAGATTTTAATTTGGCTAAAAACTATTTTGCTAGATAAGTGACAGCAGAGAACATTTTTCAATAACTTATAATTTTAAATCTGGGGAGAATATCTATAATATGTCATGAGGCTACGTCATATATTATAAAATATAGTCTCATATTTCATTATATTGCTAATAATGAGATCTATAAAAGCTTTGGTACCTTACTATTGTTTTTTTCTTTCTATATGTTGTGCTTTTTGCTAAGTATACCTCTTTGATCAATTTCAGAAATCAGAAGTTCTTTGAACCACATAAAAAATACTCAATTAAATGAAAAAGTAAATTAAAAAAATAAAACTCATATTTATTTGGTAAAAATGCCCAAAATTATTTAGTTATATATTTCAACAATAATTGAAAAACAAGAAATCATTTTCTACTTCAATCACAGCAACAAGTAATACTTAATTATTTTCCAGCAAAGCAACTTCTTAAATGGCGTGTGCTTTCATTCATTTTGCATTTCAGAGGTTATAATGATCTAGAAAATATTTTAAGAGTGCTTCATAATATTTTCTCAGAAAATAATGACACTTTAAATTTGCTCTTTCTTTTAATCATTAATGATGCTGAAGAGATAAAAATCATCTCTGCGATGATAAAACTAATTATTGGAAAAAATCAAAGCTTGCACTTTTTGTGTTCAATACTTAAAATATCCTACAGAATTCTTCATAAATCATTTCCTTTTCGCGTTTCTTTTTATTTTCAATTTCATGAAAAATGTCCACATCAGTTATTAAGTTTCTAAACACACGCAAACTTCTTTTTAATGAGTTTAGATACATAATTACAATAATAATAAGTTTTAGAGAATTTATTTAAAGAATAATGAAATATACATTTGCGATTTTTTATTTGTAGACTATTTTGTATCCTTGGAATTCTTTAGAGGGATTTAGAATGTATTATACATGTATATGCAATCAACAAAGCGGGAACTCTGGCACTTTCTACAGTACCGAAATTTGACAAAGTTTGAAAATGATTAGATATTTCAAACATTATCTGGAATTGGTACACAAAGCCGAATGACAAACCAGAAGAGTAGGAAAAATTATCATTTAAATTTTGCGATAATGACTAATTAGTTTTAGTTAAAAATAATTCCTTGATGTAACAGATTGGCTAATATTTTATTTTGTCTTATCTTAACTATTTTTTGTAATTATCATGTATAATTGATAACCAGTTTATCCGGGATAACAAACCCGGTAGGATAACTATTCTCGTTGCTTTATACTATATATGTTACCCACTTTACCGGAAATATATACACTACTTACCATTAAAATTGCTACACCAGGAAGGAATGCAAATAACAGAATGATATTTATTGGGCACATACATTGTAGTTGGAAGAACAAGTGATTAAATTTTAAGGAATTTGGATATACGGATCTTGAGGATTTAGTATTCAGCAGTCAGAGCAGTTACAGAAGAGTACAGCAGAGCAGCAATAACAGCAGTTATTCTCCGGGGCATCGAGTCGAACAGAGATTGGATAGCATGGACCGGTGAAGCATTCCATGCAGCTTCAACATTATGCCACAATTCATTGACTGTAGTGACTGACGAGTGGTGCCGTGCCAGTCGTTCGTCAGCCATTGACCAGACGTTTTCATTTGGGGAGAGATCAGGAGATTGTGCTGGCCAGGGCAACAAGCAAACTGGTGTAGCAATTTTAATGGCCAGTAGTGTTTAACTATTAGAATTTAATTTTTCATACTTTGTGTTTTTTACACATTGTTTAACAATAAGACAAAACATTTTTGTCTATAAAAAAAATTTTTTTTTTCATTTCAGTTTTCAATAAAAAACTTTTATTCCTTTTCAGCTCCTAGAACACCACCAAGGCATGTTAAAGCTATTCCTCTGGACTCTTCATCTATTCGAATATCATGGCAGGTATGATACCATTTTCAATACTTTTGAAAGTTTTACAGGATAATCTAAATGCTCAATAGTGTTTTAAACTAGCTGAATATCCATTCCTTGTAAGGTGTGAAAAAAAGAGTAAATAATCAATAAATCAATGTTTATCAACTCTTCAGAATTATAATCAAAACTGAAAGACCAATTAAGATCCTATTAATTAAGCTGAACAATTACAAGTTATTTCTGGTGGTCTTCACGATGGCCTTTTGTCATCAGATTAAGTATGTTTTTGAATGGTCATCTCATCAAAAAGAAAGAAATTACTTACATTCAGTATCATACCACGTATTGCTATTGTCCGAGATCAACTCCTGATAGCTAAAAATTACAATACGGTAAAAAGTACCGGCACTCTGTGTACTTGTATTACGGTAAAAATACCGGCACACTGAGTTCCGGTACTTTTTTCCGTAATTTGAATTACAGAATTTTTTTTATAGTGCTAGAAGTTTGTACAACAATAATGTAATAATAATAGTAATTGAAAAAAGGTTGTTTGACGGAAGATTCGTGGGCATAACTATAAAACCTCTATCCTAAGCAATGTTGGTGCAGTGTCACCAAGAACAATACATTAAAGAATAGCTTGCACAGTTCTCTATAAAATATTCAGTTCTTTCTCCACAAATAAAAAACTATATTTTCAATAATTCTTGCTCTTTCACTGCAGAAAGGTCTATTTTAAACGTAGGAAAATGTCATGCACTTTTCAAGCTAAAATCAGTCACGAATATTTTCGTTACTTCCTATTGTTGCTTCGATTTCCCTTGGTACCACCAGATGTCAGTACGCACACATCAGCTGCTTTTTCTTGCACCTGCCTTCGGGAAATGGATACAAATAATGCAAAAACTTTCCAGAAGAAGAAGCCGAAAACCTCAACTAGTGAACAAGGAAGACGCCCCGACAACGCGATCCAACGAAAGAAAAGAGTTGTCAAGTCATGAATATCATTCGTTCGTGCTCAATTTGCATTTTCAGCATCATTGCGTCAGCTGATTTTTGCATACGTATCTGTTAGATCGAAAATCAAACCCAAAGAATTGGAAATTCTTTCTTTCTCAGTTTGCGTTCGTATGAAGAAGGTTAGAATTCAGTGCCTCCAGGGCGCATTTTTTTTAACTCACTTGCCAATCCGCCATATATTTCTTTTACTCTTGATTCGTTTTTGATGGCGTGTTAAAGTACTATGTGAAAGAAAAATAGGATGTGTACATAAACTACATTTTCGAGAAAGATGTTTACTTTGGTGAAGTGAAAGAATCGATTGGTTGGATATCGAACTTTTGCAAGTTTTTTTTTCGTCTGAAGCATTAAGAGGAAACAAAGTTATTTCAAAAATCTGATGTGTTGTATTAAATTGATTCTTCTTGAAGTATATTGCTTATTTATAGAAACCCGTTTAAAAGAACAACAAATTCAAAATCAATAATAATCACTTTTCATAACAAACAACTTACTACAAAGTCCAATCACACAAAATATTAATATAGAGTATCACTGTTCAATAAATTCTTATTATTATACACAACATTCAAAGAAAACTTTTTTAGTGTTGTTTCTCAAGTAGCAATACTAGATTTGAGTGATAATATTTATTATTCTCATTTTATCTCATCGGGTAAAAAATTAAATCCTATAATCAATAATCAATAAATTCTAATTATTGAAATACTTGTGCAAGAAATTCTTTCAATGATTTTCTTAAAATAATATTTTGTTTCGAAAAAGAAAATTTTTTGTTAAATCTTCTATTCATTTTTAAGACATATACTTTTTCTAACAAGATAAGAGCATTAAAACCAAAATTTAAATTTGAGAAAGGTACTTTCATATTATTTTACACATTGATGCAAACTTATCACGAGTTTCTATATTCTTGATTGATTTATAATTTTTCATTTATTTTTGTTTCTATGGTTATTCAAATTTCTGAAAAAAAACATTTTTAAATGCACTGAATTGCACATCAAATATTAATCATTACGTGAAACACAGCAAATTATAATAATTTTGCGCATGATTTTTATTTGCTAAATTTTGAGGATAAATTTTAAAATAATGGATCGGTAACAGTTAAAATGATAACATTTAAAATATTATGTAATAATTTTTTTATGTTTTAAAAATTCTGAATTATATCCGTACATTTATAAATAGTTATAAATGTTAGTTTTATAATTTATTTTTTGAAATTGTCTTTATATTATCAGTCTTTAAGTGGCAATCTTACTGTACATTTTTGAGGAAAAAAAATTGCAATTTGGAATCGAATTTTATAGAAAAAAATTGCAAGAATGTTGCTATCAAAATTTTTAAAATATAAAATTTTATCGGTTTTCGCAACTACAATAATAAAACGATTGGTCATTCAGTGCTAAATAATGTCTTCTTGTATTGCGAAAAGAACTAATTCACATTGCATGCAATTTTTCGAATTTTGAAATGTAAAGCAAACAATATGTTATGCTTTAGTTTTTTTCGTATGCTATATTTTTACGAAATGTGCATATTTTAATTTACACTTAAGTAAACGATTGAACATAATTATTTTTAAAATTTACCCTCATAATGAAATCACGATATCCAATTTTCTTCTAATAGAAACATGATTAGAAGTTTTGATAAGAAATTCTGCTTAAAATTTTCAAAAATATAAAATTTTCAAAACTTTTAAAAACCAAATTCTAATCAAAGTAACAATTTTTTAAAGCAAATACTTTAACGTTTTTTTCTTTTTTTACATTTCACAACCTAAAAATAAGAGAAAATAAGGGGCTGCTTTAAGGAAATTTCGTTCTTAAGATTGAATCTTTAAATTCTATGAGGAATAGTCGTAATTCGGAAATATGGTCAAAATAATTTGAGAACGGTTCAAAGTTTGGACCCCTTAATGGTAATTTTACTTTTCGCGTATTTCACACCTATCCCGAAAACTTTTTAAGCGAATCGATTAATTTTTGAGCACGATTATAAAGCTCATTAAACCAATGCAAAAAATTATTCTTTGTAAATATTTATTATTTTCATTAAATCGATTTTTACTGTCGAAAACATTAAGAATTGACAGTAGAAACATTTATAAACATAATGTTACGTGCAATATACAAAGTTTGAATAATATCAGTAAAATAGAACCTGAGAAATCCAAATATAAATGCATGAACTGTTTATAAAAATACGACTTTTTTCATAATAAACAACGAAACTTATTCAGATTATTCCGTTTTTTTTCTTCCTCTTTTTTCATTTTTACGCTTACATCCAAAATTACTCATAACAGTCAAAGGAAAAACTTTTTTTTTACTCTCAGAATGGGAAACACTACAAATTTTAAACTGATGAAAATGTTGTTATTTTGCAAGCATTAATAATCCCAATAATTATAAGTGCAATATATATTGGCAAGATTATTAATTAGTATCCAGCACTTTAACAATTTAATATATAATAATTAATTTATATTTCCTTATCAATCTCACTTTAACTTTTATGAAGTATTTATCAACTACAGCATTTTTTGTGTTCAAAAATAATTTCACTGAATAAAATATTAAATCATAATGGTTTAAACCAATAACCAAATTAAATAAGCATTAAATTATTAAAATTTCATATTTAATAAACGAGACAAATATGTGGTTCTATGACTACTGGAATTAACTACAGCATAATATTCTACAAATACTTTAAATAGTGAGCTGATTTGTAATATCATTAAAGCACGATCCTCAATGAAAAGCATAATCTTGTAATGCATTTAAGCTTTACTAAAATCCCATAACAATGAAAGAGGCTTTTCATTAACTAGTAAAGTGAATGTAGTGTCATACGCAGCTACTCTAATCCACTGTTTAGATTTAATATTTAGTGACTTTGCAATTATGATAATATTAACACGCATCAAAGTTTAGTTAGCTTAAGAGGTACCAATAATGGGTGACGTTATTTGCGATGATGGATTATGAACAAGCTGTGGATAAGAATAAAACATTTTAATGAGGTTTTGAATATGCGTTTATAAATTAGGCAGATTTTGTACCTAATGGAGAACAGTGCTAAAATTATAATCCCCATACTGTTCCTGGTATTAAAATGTTTTTAAAAGGAAAGTAAGTATTCTAACTTCTATATGCAACTTTAACGCATGGTTTATTTTCCAAAGATTGTAGATCTTAATCGTGCGGAAAGTCATGTTGCTTTTAAAACAGATTTAAAAATCGATGCAAGATGCTTTAATAATCGGAGAGCTTAGTGGAAGAAGGTTCTAAATGACATTTTTGAAAACATTTAAATTTCAATAAAAAAATATCTTGCTTCATACTTATTTGAAAATAAATTTTAGACGCTTTAATGATCGAAGAGCTTTATGGAGGAAGGTTCTAAACGACATTTTTTTGAAAAATTTAAACTATCTATAAAAACGAAATTATTTCAGAATTATTCGGAAGTTAATTCTAGACGCTATAATATTTGAAGAACCTAGTCGAATGAATGTTCTAAATTATATTCCATTCAAAATTATCCCCTTAAAAATTATTCCATTAAAAATACCCTGTTTCAAGCTTAATCAAAAGTTAATTCTAGAAGCTTTAGTATGCGAAAAGCTTATTGGAAGAAAGTTGTAAGCAGATATTCAAAAGAAAATATATTTCTTTGGTGGTATGGTGAATTATTTACGTATTTTTATTTTGAAAAACTGAAATTTATATGAACATGATCTTGTTTTACACTGATTTCAATATAAATTCTATATACTTTAATAATCAAGGAACTTATGATAAAAAGTTCTAAATAAAATTTTTGAAATAATTAAAATGTCTATGAAAAATATCCCGTTTCAGACTTACTTAAAAAAATAAATTCTAGACGCTTCAATATTCAAAAAACCTTAATGGTTGAATCTTTTAAATTACATTTTTTTAGAAAAACCTGAAATTTCTATGGAAAGGATCTTGTTTTAGACTTAT